TATGGAAGAAATTAGTACCAGTCACTTCATATGGCCTTGAAATTAAATATAATATGGAAGAAATTAGTACTAGTCATTTCATATAGCCTTGAAATTAAATATAATATGCAAGAAATTAGTACTAGTCATTTCATATAGCCTTGAAATTAAATATAATATGGAAGAAATTGGTACCACTCATTTCATATAGCCTTGAAATTAAATATAATATGGAAGAAATTAGTACCAGTCATTTCATATGGCCTTGAAATTAAATATAATATGGAAGAAATTAGTACTAGTCATTTAACATAGCCATGCAATTAAATATTATATTAAAGAAATTAGTACCAATCATTTCATCTAGCCATGAAATTAAATATAATATGGAAGAAATTAGTACTAGTCATTTCATATAGCCTTGAAATTAAATATAATATGCAAGAAATTAGTACTAGTCATTTCATATAGCCTTGAAATTAAATATAATATGGAAGAAATTAGTACCACTCATTTCATATAGCCTTGAAATTAAATATAATATGGAAGAAATTAGTACCAGTCATTTCATATGGCCTTGAAATTAAATATAATATGGAAGAAATTAGTACTAGTCATTTCATATAGCCATGCAATTAAATATAATATGGAAGAAATTAGTACCAGTCATTTCATATAGCCTTGAAATTGAATATAATATGGAAGAAATTAGTACCAGTCATTTCATATAGCCTTGAAATTGAATATAATATGGAAGAAATTAGTACATTCGTTTACTAATATAAAAGTTATAGCATGAAAACTATAACAAGCACAAAATGGGTATGACGTTGGTCCCCATGGCCCGAGACCGTGCTGAAAGAATTAATAGTATCAGAATTGAGATGAAAACCATCATAAACAGCAATAAGTTGTGTTAATTATTTTATAAAACAGTCTGTGGATGATGGAAGTCATGCTGAGTTTGAGACAGTAATGCAGTGAGAGCCAGTTTTAATTGGATTGGACTACTACATTATCAGCATACTATGCTAGCAGTTGTCAACAAAGGTTAGAAACATGATAATTTTCCTATACGGAAATGTACTAACAATAGGTACTTCCCTCTTCTCACAAGATTAGCTATTCTCGTTCATTGCTGCCCTCTATATGCAAAAAATTTTCTTTATGCATGCCACAAGCCTTCTCCTCTCTCCTATTGGAATCAAGTGATTCCAACATGTCTCTCATGCATCACCTTTCACCAATAAGAGCATAGTACATTCACATCATTCACATGACTCCCTCTATGCACCTGTACCAAACTATTACTTCAAAGTTTGGCAGAAAACGGAAGCACTGAAATTGTGTGAGGGAAGTACCTATCATAAATACATTTCCAGTATAGGAAAATTATAACTTTTGATACAGTAAACTTCCCTCCGCTCTCAAGATTAGCTAGGATCCCACATTGATTAGAAGGAGGTACCGGTGAGAGGGAAGAACAGATATACCCTCCAACAGTATCCAAAGGACACCTCCATTGATGAGAGAGTCATACCACAAGATTTGAAAAGGAGCACCACACAACATGTGAGACAGGGATACTCTTCGCTCATATGCCATCAGGGCAGAAAAGGTGAGGAGCACATCTGAGTGGCAGAGAATGTGGTAGGAAAAAGATCCTCACTAAAGAAAGATAATGGAACTCACTCCCACAATGTGAAAAGTGGGTAAAGAAGGATGCTCCTGTGGGTGTAGAGTGGCTAGGGCATGGCAGAACATACTCAGCACGTCAATTACATCCAAAACATCCTTGCAGGGTACCAACATCTGCACAAAAGTAGAATGAGGATTCACCATCTTCACCTCAAACCCAAGAACTGGGGAAATGAGAACCACTCCAATTACTGGGCATTACACAAGGATGAGCTCAGAGCTATTTATGTTGGAACTGGACAATCGTCATCGAAAGAACGTCTATCGCATGCAATCAACTCCCACAACTGTGAAACAATCCAGAACTCACCAAGCAATAACATCTCCGTAAAAAGAGAGAATGAGAGAAAGGCAAGGATAGAGTTGGTATAATCTCATGTATCACCACTGTGCCCATAACACAGATGGAGAAATCAAGGGGAGGAAGATAGACAACCAAAACCTGTGTGAGGACTTATGTTTATTGGTTCACTCTAAATCCAAAACCTGCCCGTGGGGTACCAGCATCCACACAAGGGTAAGATGAGAGCTCCCAATCGATGGGGTGAACTGCATTCTGATTTCTCACTCTATTGTATTGGTTATTGTAAATAGGAGTACAGTATGTCACTTACACTAGCAGAACACCACTACCCTACTCTGCACTGAATGGTTATAGCCATATTAGTGTGGTAAGAACTTCCATATTCCACTAGAAGAGAGGAGGGTGATAATGCATTGGAGAGCCCAGAAAAACAACATCACCTTATTTTGAAAAGCAGACCATACAACTTTATCCAATCGAGGTATGGCAAGGATGGGCAATTATTCCCCTTCTGCTTTACCCATGAAGTTCATGGTGGTACAGTCCAGAATAGGCATATTTATGAAGTAAACCTACAAGAGAAGCACCCCATCTCAATGGTGAGCATTGCGAAATCATGGAAAATAAAGCACGAGTCAAAATGGCTGTACAGTGTGGATTTTGAGTTAAAAAATACCTGGTCAGGCACCACTCACCACAGAGCAGGATACATATAAAGAATGGGCCCCTGAAATAAAAGAAAACATGAACAGAGACTTACCCAGTTTTAGAGTCGCACTGAAGTTTGAAGAATAGCCACAGGTGGAAGGTGAAAACCCAAGGAAGCCAAAACCGTGATACGATGTAAATAATGGGAGATGAATGCATGAGGGATTTCCTCCAAAGGTTGACGAAGACGAGAAGCAACGAAAAAGGTGAGGTGCCGGATTTGATGAGAAGTGACTCAAACCAAATTCTGGTGGGAAGGGGATAAGGAGGAATAGGCTAACTGGATCAAACAACAAACCCAATTGATGAGAGTAGAAGGGGAGAGATCATAAGACAAAGATTGCCAAGGGATAATTAGTCAGGAAATGGGAACCCCAGAAGGAATCCGTGAGGGCAATATAACAATAGAAGGCATGCACCGGATATAGAAATCTATCCATATCAGGACGAGGGTAAAGATGAGAGATAGACAGAAGGGAAATGGGTGGAAAAGGGGAGTTACCCTCTCCAGCGACTGAGGTTTTCAGGAGGAAGGAACGATTCAGATAAAGGAGAAGATACGTCAGGTTAGAAAGTGTGCAAGTAATGTTGATGGCGTACAAGTCAGACCGGCAATGACCACAGGCAAAAAGGAGAATGAAATACACTTTAAGGTAAAAGTGAAACATGAAAAACGAGGAAAGAGGTTTGAACAGAGGTAAAGTAAGGGAATGGAGGACCACATTAATATCCCAGTCCAGAAGTGTAGGTCGTCGGAGAGGATGAAGAATCCAGAAGGAATGGATTAACATGGTAAGGACAGGAGAAGCAAAGACTTGACAGTACCGGGAAGGAGGAAAGGTATGGGATAATGCAGCCCAATAACCTAAAATCAAGGAGAACGAAGACCCCCGGTCGAAAAGCCATGTGGCAAAATCAGAGACATCAGCCACAGTTGGTTGAGCAGTTGAAATGCCCCTAGCATGGGACCCTGTATGAAAAACCTACCACTTATGTTGATATACATCCATAGAAGAAGGATGTATGAATTGAGCCAAATGGAAAGCTACATGCCAGGAGAAACCAGATCTCCTCGCCAAGGGACAGACAAAGTCAGCCGTAAAGAGGGGAGACGTGAATGGCAGGGTGTAGAACCAGCAACTGAGGCTAAAGGAGGAGGTTGGGAAATAAAGGACTAATTGAATTTGGTACTAACAAGGGAACTGCGGTTAAGCCTACCAATAGGGAGTGATTAGAAGGACCTGGTATGGAGTGGCATGGATTAGGGGAAACACCTGATGAAGTAATTGGATGGGAGGATAAACATATAGGAATTTGTGTGGCCACTCCTTGCATGCAGAAAGTGATGGAGTAGTCAAGGCATGAAGAATGAAGAACTGACAATTCCATCGAACTTAGTCAGAGAGGAGAAGGCTGGGCCCAACTTAGGTGGGTGTTAAAAAAGACACCCAAGTGAACAAGGTATTGGGTAGGACAAAGATAGTACTTCTCCAATTTGATCAACCAGCTCAACAGAGCAGCCACTTAAAGAAGCTAGGGATAAGACATCATATACCTGTGAAATAAAAGTCCAAAAAACCATGGAAGGCTGAAATGAATCCTCGGGAAATTGGCGGGAAGGCACATTAAATTGGGAAGGTCAAAACAGACAATCAAAGTCCCCGTTAGCTTGCCCAAGTTTGACTGGCTTGGGAGGAATTGGGGCAATGTCAGGAGAGAGAGGTTGTAGCATTAATCTCCCAGCAAATAAATGTAGACGAATCTCCCATCGGATCACCCGCACCTGAAGCCTGTGATAAAGCGTCTGTTTAAAATTGCGACAAGCAAAGTGGTGATGGTGACTACAGAATTCATGCTTCAATTGTCGACAACAGAAATTGAATAAAATAAAAGTGACTATTTTGAAAAAGAAGTTAATGTAACTTCAAGCAAATTTGGTTATAGTAAATTTTAATTACAGTTATAACCACTTTGAGAAATTGGTGGAAAGGTGATGCATGATGATTTGCATGAGAAATATGTTGGAATCATTTGATTTCAACAGGGGGGAGCAGAAGGCTTGTGGCATGCATAAAGAAAAAAGTTCGCATATAGAGGGCAGCAATGAATGAGAATAGCTAATCTTGTGAGAGGAGGGAAGTACCATATCAGAAACAGAAGACTGTGGTTAGTGACAAATGACACATCTCTCTTCTCAAATGTGCTTTCCTAATACAGAGAACATGCAGCACAAAAAGTTGACTGTCATATTGTTCAAACAACAATATGTTGATTGTTATACTATGTAAGAAAAACTATAATCAGCTGCTACCTGGTAAACTTTCTTTACTCAGGCTATTTCTTCCTTCTACAGACACATGACCTTCACTCCCACCAGGTAACGTTAAGCACTGAGAACTGTCATCTGATCTAACACCCTCAAGAAGAGCTTTCAATCGTCGACTCTCTTCATCAATTCTGCTCTGGATAGACGTGGCCAATGTCTGGAGATTTTTTACAACAGGATGAACAAAAGTTTCTTGCTGAGCTAATGAGAGAAAAAATAAGCATCTTTTTAATGAAGATCATTAAAACTTAGAGAAACCAAGCAACAACCTAAGCAGTGCAGGAAGGTTTTTCCTACATTTACTGTAAAGTCAATTGTATCATGCCCTTTACTTGAAGTATACTCTATAATTTGTAGTTCAAAATTTGGCAATAAAAAAGTTTTAAGATTTTGAAAATTGATTAGCCCTAACAATTTTTTCTAGCAATTGTAACTACTTAAAATATGCAACTGTGATAGTAAATCACACGGAGATGTTTACTATTTCTGTACTTCTAGTTTCCAGTGGTGATTTATTTTAATATTACACTAAAACAAAGTACAAAATTTAAAGTCTTAGGATATTTTGAGTATCAGTTTACTGTGCACGATTTCTCAGTTCAGTTTAAATGTGTTAGTGGTTTTTACATTTTTAAGACTAATTATTAAATCTGTAGGAAACCTTTTTACTTTAGCAACATTATGCCTCAATTATTTCTGATTAAGAAGGGTGTTTAGTTCCTAGATTTAGGACTGATGAACAGTATTTTGTTTAGGTTTATAAGGTACAAAAAGAATAATGTATAAATGATTGAAATTTAAATTAAAGTGAGTAGCAATAACAGTATTTTATGATAGCATTATTAAGTAAGAAAACATTGTTGAAAAACATGAGGTATATAATTGTGTTGCATAGAATTCCTGTAGCTTTAAAACAAATATAATTTAACACAAAAACTTTTTTCAGAACATCAAATAAAACCATTAACATAGAAGGAAAATCATGTCAAGAACAGGACATGAATTAAAATCATAAATAATATTCAACTTTAAACTGGTACACAATTAAAAACATTTTATTTACGCCTATCTATGGCCTTCAAAAGTTGACAACTCTACATGTTTCGACATTACAAGGGCGTTACAATACATGTTTAAGCGGCACAGCACGCGACTAATCAAATTTGTGATAATATAAAATTAGAAAAACACAGATCAACAAACAAGACAGTGTTAGTAATTCATATTATTTGTTTTACAGTGTATCCCTTTACCTAAAAAAACTCGTACTCAATGTGATTAACGAACCATAAAGCATATATATAATGTTACTACAGACGAAAGATAAGTGACGTTGTTAACCTACAAAATAAAGTCTTTGTTGAAATTATTGTATTATGCACATTAACTTTCTTTTTAAAGCTAGTATGGATTGTTGGTTAAGAAACATCAAGTTGAGAATGCATGATTTATTGATCTTTCTTGTGCATGTAGTGTCTTTGAGCTAATGTCCCGACCGATAATTGGACATGGGCATTTAAAATATAGAATACTGCAGTAAGGCTTAACGCTTCATAGCTTAATGTTTCTCATTTAGCTGAACTAATTTGATTTGTATTTTACAAAGTAAAAAGCTTTTGATGTAACACGTATTACTAGAAAGCTCCTGATGTAAGATGTATTGCTATAAAGCCCCTGATGTAACATGTATTAGTAGAGAGTCCCTGATGTAACAAGTATTGCTATAAACCCCATGATGTAACACGTATTACTAGAAAGCTCCTGATGTAAGATGTATTGCTATAAAGC